TCCTGCGAGGGTACGTAAGTCCCAAAACATTTCAAGTCAGTTTAAGTGTACCAGGTTTTTAATCGTAGTATTTTTGTGTTTTTAATGTATGCCTAAATCTCAGCATCAACGCCAATGGCTGAAGGGATGGTGTAAATCCAGCTAGGGTCCATGCAGGTAGCAAAAGTAATGTAAGTCCCCATGGGCCTTAGTATGGTGATCTACCTTAAGTTGTTGGCGATCTATAGCCCGTATTTTATATTGTATTGTCTTCTTTAATTGGAATATTTTAACTTTGTGCTCGTTATATATTTATAACTGTAATTCTCTAGTCTTTTTACTGTCCATCGTCGACAAGTTTTAATCTTCACAATGTTTCTACTTTTTATTGTATGGCTTGTTTTCGTCACGATATGGCTGCAATATTGCCGATGTGACGTTAAATATTCACTCACTCGCTCACTCACTGGCCACAGGTACGTTGGGTACATTTTTTGGACGTGGAATATTCGGAACTACAACAGACAACATGTTTAAGATTTGAATTTGGTTAATAGATGATGTTCCATTGAGTAATACACTTGACCTCAAGACAAGTCGCTAACAGACCTTCATGAAGGCAACTATTTAGAGTGAGTGAGGTGTTTGAGTAACGTCGCTTTAAACAGTAGTTTAGTTTATACCCATGTGTGAACTTCATGCGCAACGAGAGACCAAATATAAGCATGTCTTAGTAGTTTACTAATGTGGTGAAATCAAATCACAAAATTTGCGCTGAAAAAGCAACGATGATAAGGCAAATCGGGACTAGACTGGTCCGCCCAAGGGACAAACTCTTCTAATGGAGTGAGTAAGTGAGTTTATTTTACGCCCTCAGCAAAATTCCAGCTATGTGGCAGCGGTCTGTAAATAATCGAGTCTGAACCAGACAATCAAGACACGCACACCAGCGAGCAGTTACTAATTTGATGGTGACAACGTCCTTACCATTTGGTCTTGATCCCCTGCCTCCAGTGTTAATATCTGGCTTGGGGATCTGAAGTCTGGATCCACTCTCTGAAAAATATCATAACGACAAATAGTGTACTTGTTAAACGTATTTTGATGTATTGTAGGAGCCGTACATGCCTTTGTTCAAATGTATGTGTTATTTCGGGTTTACGACACTTTCAATCGACTTCAGATTTGGGGATCGAACCTAGGCTTTTGGATTGAACAATATCAGATATAGGTAATATTGCTTTTTTAAAATAATCTGTCCCATGAAACGAAAGAAACTGTTGCCTCGTTTTTACCGTTACCGTTAATTTCAAGTCAGTTATGAAAATGTCAAACATACATATTTATCTGTCGATACCTGAATGGAAAGCCATTTTTATTTACTAACATATTTCATCTCTTTGAAGTCATTCCTATTTCTATTCTATTCCTATTTAAATAGATAAAACATTATTATTCTTCACTCGGTGGTTGCATGACACATGCACAGACTGACAATATTTTCACTCTTTTAATGGAATAAATTCTGTAATCAGTAGTGTGAGGAACAATGTTATTTCGCTTACCTTGTCCAAACATGCTGGCGGAGTATGTGTTTTATCTCAGTATACCACCCCGTGTTATATATACTGGCAGAATGCGGATGTTTGTTCTTTGCTAGAAATACCTATCTGGGCAGGAGATCCTGGGTTTACCCTCAGTCTAAATATAGAATTTGACGTGTTGCCGAAAGGGTATACATGTCATAATAGTTTTGATTTGTCAGCTTCGCTTTTGATTTGTTGCTTATTCTTTGAAAAGGACCTGCGAATATTGTTGATTTGGAAGTTACGTGGACTCGTGTAGCACGCGAACTACAGTCCAACCGACCCAAGGTGGACGAGTCAGTCAATGGTGAAGCGAATGGTGAAGCAAACTTAGCATATAAAACATATACTGACTGTAGGACTGTGAGGTGGAAACACTGGGTGTCTTATCTTTTAGGCTGTTCTCGAATTCTTAAACATGCCAAAAAATTCTCATCCTTGTTTTTGAATCTTATAAACGAGTTTATGGAATCTGTAAGAACTTTTGTACTTTCCATTGTCAAATTTAATCTTGGGCAGTGTAGTCGTCAGTGGTTAAAGCGGCCCCTAAAAACGCTGAAGGCTGGGTTCTATTCCCAAACGGGTTCATTGTGTGGAGTTCATTTCTGGTGTCACCTGGCTAAAAGAGACGTTGAACAGTAATGACATAGAATATACCCCGTCTTAGTAAATAAAGTGGTTATTAATAACTTGGCACACTAACTGCTATGTTTTAGTATATCACGCGTCAGTCGATCCACTTTCAGGGGTGGTGGGGTAGCCTAGTGGTTAAAACGTGTGAAGCCAATATCTGGTGTCTCCAAGCGCGATATTGCTGGAATGTAAAAAAGCTAACAGCACTCACTCACGATCAACTTTCAAAATTCCTGGACGAAACTCAGTGATTTCTATCCCAGTTTGGTATGAATTATCTATGCCCTGTGCATGCAGAATTATCAGTTTCGGGAGTATTTTTTGTTATCGAAGACAACTTTTGATTATTAAAATATATTAATATTATTTTCAAACGGAGCCTGGCACTGAAAGGCCCCTCGGCTTAGACAATAACGTAAACCTGAAGTTAAGAAATGTTGATAATCTGAGGGGCGGTGAGGTAGCTAAGACTTAGTTGTTAAACCGTTGGCTCGTCACGCCAAAACACGGTTTCAATTCCCCTCATGGGTATAACGTGTGAAGTCCATTTCTCGTGTCCCTCGCCGTGATATTGCTGCAATTTCTAAGATGCTTCGCTACATTCGTAACTACTCGCCTCTTTCCTCGACCCGCCATCCGGCTTGCCGGAATGACACAAGTAGTTACGAATGATTGTGAATATGAAAAATGTCCATTTTAGATATCTACATTGCATGTCAAATATCCCTGCTAAAACTATGTATAAATAATCATCCCTCTTGTAACAGGCCACCAAAACAATCCACTAGTGCTGTTATTAATCTAATTCCTTGTTGATTGATATGGGCGAGAATGTACTGTTAGGTCGACCTGCTCTTGGGGTATTTCTTATCACCCAGTTAACAAAGAGGCGGCCTCGCAGTACTTCACGAGGAAAAGTGTCTGTTCCCGAGGAACGCCTCACTCATTCACACAACCACAATTTCAATCCTTACAGACACACATTTACACCATAACTGTTAAGGTCCTTACAACCGGGGTGGCAACAGGGCTTTACATTTTGCAATTTCTCGGGGAGAAAAAGCACAAAGACCTTTTGAAAGCGATAATTGTAAAGGTGTTTTGTCCCCTCACCATGATACGTTTGCAGTTCTGAAAAATGTTAAGTCTCTACTTGACACCCTGTGCAGTTCTTTTTAAAAATATATACCCAATTATTCAAGTTGTATACGTTCCTGACGTCATATGGCAACCGCACTGTATATAAAGTGTGCAGATAGGATCTGAACAACTGATACGGCGACGCAGTTCCACAAGTCACTACGTAAGTGTTACTTTTCTCTTTACTATTACTTTTTGAAACAACCAAATTCAGATTTTGATTTTGGAAACTCGTTTGTCCCTGATGTTGCTGGTCTAGGTCAAAGAGATTACTAACCTCCACACACAGTTGCAATGAGTACATACTAAGGAAGCATACACAACTTTAGGGCCGTAGTTAACTTTCCTTAACAGAGGGGCACTATCAACCATTGACTGAGGTATATTGTCGTGTTAAGACTGGTTTTCTTCATTTTAGCAACGGTTAGGGTAACGCTTGCTCTTCAAAAGACCAGGACGGTTGCATACAACGATCTTAGCGCTAGGACTGTTGTGAGCCTATGTTTAAGAATTGGATCAAGTCAGTGTTACGGTCACCTTAGCGCTATGTGGGCTTAGTGCAACGGGCCCCTTGGTCGGTTCAGTGGCTCTCGGCTATGATAATAGCCTGAAATTGCTTATCTTTGTTATAAACTATAAAATACACACATGACACAATGGAGTGTCAATGTGTAGTTTATCTGTTCACAATATCTTGTATGACTTTGGATGTTGTGGTTTCTCAGAAAGGCCGTCGTAAGTATTGCCATGTCAGGTCGGGCGTTGTCGTATTGACTAATGACCAGTGCCCGAAGAATTTCATCTGTGCAATGTTGTGCCGTTAAATTGCTCTGGACGTTTACCAAGTCTGTTACATCGGTATTGGAGATGGCAACCCACACCATTACACTAGCGCTACCAACCGATCCAATTTCCTTTTTGCATTTTCGGGCATAACGTTCCCCACGACGTCTGTACTCGTCACTAAACCAAACACGTCCCCATCGCTGTTGTGGTAATACAGTCATAATGACGCGTTCCTCACTGTCTGTTCTGAAATCCTACGTAATTGTGGTATTGCTGGGCCTGTAAAGGTGGCGCATCAGTTATGACACGTCCTCGTCCGGATCTATAAGTTACGTGTTGACCCCTGCGCCTGATAACAGTTCAATAGTCTCGTAATTGTGTTTGGGAAAACGTTGCTACGGCCCTAGCTTCGTCGCCTGTCTGCAGTCGGCCGATGACGTTGTTGCGTTGAGCTTCTATCTGTTTTCAAGTTGACCTTGCTGTACAATTGTGATGACAGATACATGAAATCCACAGCCCATCAATTCATGTTGCACATTCCATGCTTGTATGTTTATGAAGCCAAGCGTTTTGCGTTTTCCCCACTTCTATAACATCGTTTGGGCCGTACCTTAACATTCCCGATGCAAGCATACACGAAGAGTTAATTTTCTATGAATATACGCGAAACGCCGGCAGAATATTTCCAATAATTTTACTTTTTGCGATTCTTTGTATTTGCAGAGTATATATCAATGACTGCACAACTGGCTGAGACGGAAATTTATGGGATTATTATTATCATTATAATATAATGCTGAAAAAGAAATTATTTGTTACACATGTTAAATCGTCATAATCAAGCATTATTTTATCTTAGTGTTGGTTTATTTCAGCGACAGTTTGATTGACTATGGCTGAATCTGGATCTGGTAACTAGGATTATATTCTTTGAACCTTAGAATGTTTAACGGATATATCACTGTAATATTGTCGAGCAGTTACTTTTGAAACTGACATTTGATCTTCCACCAACGATGATCGCTCGGTTCCATAAACGTTATACATATTGCCTTAAAGCCGTACAGTAGGTGAGCGCATCAGGGTTTAACCTCTTGTCACATTCATCCACAGTTATACAGTATTACCCACTTACAACGTAAACGGTCATAAAACTGTAAGCAAGAACCAGTGTCCCATTCCTTACAATGTTTGAAGCGATGTCCGGTGTCCCCCGCCGTGATATTGTTGGAATATTGATAAAATCGGCGTAAAGCCATAATCATGCACTCAAATGTGACGAGGTTTATGTGCGAGACCACCTTTTTCGCCACCTCCTTCTATTCGTACTGTTTATGTATATTTAGTGTTTAATTCCATCAGGTTCTAAGCAGCAATTCATGGCCCACGTAGTCATTAATTCTGTATAAAATATCTGTGAAACTACACGAGTGCTCAAAAGAATGTATACAGTGTGTTTGACCAAACTTGAAAAGAAAAGAAAACCATTTATAATAGTTTAAGTTAAATGTAGTATCCACTTCTACATCAAATGTGCACAATTTCATTTCATACAAAGTCGAAAGTATCGTTTGACTGACACTGAAAGACACGTGAACTCAAATCAACAAGGCGTTTTCTTTGCTGTAAATTATCATCAAATGATGAATCAATACTGTGACCACCATTGGCTTCAATACACGCCAAAACACACCGACGCCTTGAGGTTAGGCACAGACACAGACACAGACACACACACACACACACACACACACACACACACACACACACACACACACACACACACACACACACACACACACACACACATACACAAACACAAACACACAAACAAACAAACACACACACACACACACAAACAAACACACATGGTGTATAGTTTCTTTTGCGGACAGAAAGGAAAAAATTACTCAAGAAGCGTTTATTTTATCATGTTTTCAAACTGCCATGCGCATATACATTAACCCCTCCAACCCCCAAGCCCATCCCACCCAAAGAAAACCCAAACCCCACCCCACCCCCAAAATAAAAACAAAAACTAACATCAACAAAAAAACAAAACAAACAAAAAACAATAAAAAAAACCAATAAAACAAACAAAATCAAAGCATAAACAAATCCAATGAAGCATTGGTTCTATTCTCTGACTCATTCACTCTGCTGAATAACAACTTTTGTCCAATCAATGTGTTTATAAAAGTCTCAGCAATTGTGAATATTTATAAAGCTTATACCAAGTGTGCGTCTTGTGTTACGAAGTATCACACCTAATGTCTGTCGTAGTGTCAAGTTGAGACCCAAAAGAAGAAAAAACAACCCCAAAAGCAGAAAAAAAACAACCCCAAAATACCCCAAGCAAACATACCAACAAAACATTGTAATTGTTATCAAATAATAGAGGTGGTATTTTGTCGTTGGTAAAATGCTTTTTCCGCATTTCTAACAATTAGGTTCATGTTACAGGCTTCAGTGTAATGTTTGCTTTTCGTCCTGTCCCTCTTGAAATTTATTCTCTACTTGCAATGATATATTTCAGTACAACATGCCTGATAAAATCAGCAGAATCCTGCTTCGGATGTAATACTTGACATAGTAAAGACAAGTTTGAAGTTCATAATTACGCTATCGTGCATTCGGGAATATGTAGACATGAGACTTTGGAGCTGACATTGTGTTTGTTTTGAAAAGAAATTGGGTGCCATTTATATAAAGGAACATTAAGATGTTATGCATGGTAAATAGTATAGTCAAACACTGAATACGCCTGTTTTACTTTCATAAGACCAACTGCTCTCCCCCGAAACCTCCCCGGAAGCCAGTGCTTGAAGACGAAACATCTGTTGATGATGGTACGTATTGCTTCGTATGTTAAATAATAATGTATGCAAAACAAAGTGTGAGGTTTTGTGGCAGAAATGAAATAAACTCTGTCAAAAAAGAAACGCAACCCCTGTATTTTAGAGATTTTGATCTGAAGTTTTAGGACGACACGGCATTTTTATTATTTAAGACAGAAGTCTGAAATTTGGCAGAATAATAACCCAGATGGGCATGTTTAAAATTGTCATTTCAAAAGTCATCTCACAGACACCAGTTTGTCACCAGGGGGGCGTCTTTCTCAGTATCTCGTATGAGCACCACGCGCTGCAATCACTGCACGGCATCTCCTTGGACAAGAACGGATAAGACGCCGGATTCTTTCCTGGGGAATGGCTCTCCACTCCTCCTGCAGTGCAACGCCGAGCTGTTGCAGCGTCTGTGGCGGCGGCTGACGTTGACGTACGCGTCGATCCAGAGTATCCCACAGGTGTTCAATAGGGTTGAGGTCTGGTGATTTAGAGGGTCATGGCAAGACATTGACGTTGGAATTCTGCAGAAAGTTCATTGTTGCACGTGCAGTATGAGGCCGGGCGTTGTCCTGTTGAAAAATCTGTGTCTGTTGGTCAATAATCGGGAGAAGGTGAAGCTCTAACACGTGGTTGATGTAACGTTGGGCTGTCAGGTTCCCCTGAACGATCACCAAGTCTGATTTCTGGTTGTATGAGATGGTTCCCAAACCATGACGCTTTCTCCGCCAAATCTGTCCACCTGTCGGACGCAGATGGCGCAAAACGTTTATGACGTCTCCTATACAGACGCTGTCTTCCGTCGTGACGTTGCAAAAGAAAACGTGATTCATCAGAAACCAGATTCGCCTCCAGTTTTGTAAAGTCCGTATCCTTACGTTGTTGCACCACCTGAGTCGTCGGCGTCGATGTAGGGGGCGTAGTACAGGTCCAACAACTGGTCTACAGGCACGTAAACCCGCTTCTTTCAGACGGTTCCTAATCGTTTGAGCTGACACTCTCCTCAAACCTGGTATTTGTGTGGCAGTCACGGTTGGTAGGGCATGCCGATTACGCAGGTGATGGACCCGGATGTACCGATCTTGAAGGGGGTCGTGATTCTGGCCTTCCACTTCTCGGGCGATCGTTGGTCAAATTGAAGTTGTTGTAGCGGCTCCAAAGTCGGGATATCGTTGTTTTGTGAACATTTAGGTGCCGTGCAACAGTTCCAAAACTTTCTCCGGCTTGAACACGACCAATGGCGATATTTCGGTCGGCAGCACTCAATCGTGGCATTTTTAACACAGCTTTTCGGCGACAAATGAATGAATATAATACGGAAGCACATGGGCTTTTATACACCCCTACATTAACCGCCATTTTCATGATTTGCATGTGTTTTTTTTGTGCGAAGTCACCATGAGGGTCATTTCATGCGTTGTGACGGAATAAGCAATAAAATACACTTATGCGTACAAATGCAGTTGTTTGATGGTAATCTTCATTAATTACGTATCATTTCAATACATTCGAATAAAATTTAGTTTGAAGCAATAACTTCATTCAAACGAATTTTTCATATCTGAGGACAGGGTTGCGCTTTTTGACAGAGTTTATTTAAGAAGTAAAACTAATAGGTGTAAGAAAATCAAAACGGGGGTTAATATCATGAACAAAGATTCCATAATGATATTTACTCAATAAAATGAGAAACTTAACATTATTTGAAATAATTGTGACAAGGTGTATGCTTTTACTTTTGTGTTGTCCCATACATACGACAATGGCATGTAGGCTGCTTGAACATGGTCTTGGTGATAGTCGTGTACAATTTGGTAATAAAGTGTGAAAAAAGCGTAAAACACAGCGATTACGTGAACGCCTTAACGCTCACATGCTCATTAGAATGCAACCACATAGGCATTGCTAAACAGGAAATGCATAAAGTTTACTCAGACAGCAGGTATGCCGTGACCCACAATTCAGCATTGTGAGGTGTAGGGGTGGGCTTAAGGCTAGATAGCCCGCTCAGCAGTTGCATGAGCCTGGCATGTAGTCGTCATACAATTAGGAGATAAACATCATGTGTTGGCCAATTTCCGGGTGTTATTGAGTATTTGAAGCACGGGAATTCATTTGGAACGTTGAAGACATGTGGCGGCGCGTGTGGCGGTACACAAGGATGACAATCAGGTCCTGTCATCTCCGCAGCAAATTTGTGACTGCAACCTCGATGAGCTGACAGCTGTGAATGGGTAGAGTGTCAGCACAGACCACCAAAATCGACTGCGCTCAGCAGATGTCCGAGCTAGACGACCACACGTGGGACCTATCCTGACGCAGTTGCATCGTGCTCAACGCTTACGATGGGCTGCAGAGATGCCAGGGCGGGTGTCATGGTTCAATGGTTCATGCATTATTTTTCAAATAATATGCTGCTGTTATCCACATTTTATCATTATTGTTCCCAGGTTGATAGTAATGTTGTAACTGGCGACTGGACGTGAGTACACCCTACACCAGTTACCTAATAATTAAGGCCGTTCCACATGGTCAGGGGAGATGGTAGCTCTGACGCTCCACTCGCATGGTCCGTCGGATGCTAAGTCAAGAAGTGAAGGGTCGGGCGACCAGGGCTCCTAACTAACTGCATCACATTCTTATATTACCTTAATGTAAAATACTTTAATTTCATTGGTCAATGACGCTTTAAGAAGTGTCCGTGTCAACCTTCCTAGGAGGGTGACAACTGGAAAAAATATTACCCGCTGCCAAGGTAACTGCCAAACTCTCCGCCGAGAAGCTGTATCGCTAACACTCATATGACGTCATAATATGACACATGCAGTGCCCGGAGTTCGAAAACCGTTCGATTAGCTGTTTTTGAGTTCACTCTATGCAGACATTTATTTAACCGACTTTCACTGCTTTATTTAAACTATTTTATACAATGAATCGTTTGCACACGCAACTTAAACATAATTAACCATTTTATAGCTTGTGAGAAAATGTTTCACTGATTTTAAAAAATCCAGTCGAGAAGGAGACGCCATTTTGTTTACATGTCATACAGTCGGTGGCGATCTTCCAAATATAATGAAATAATATTTTGTACATTTAACATGGCGGTAAGATAAATACGTTGTATGCTTCTTCCTCGGGTGATACGGTCTGGTGTACGCTCTTTTGTAGCAGTGTTACCACTCGCCTACCTGCTGGTGTGACACTGCTACAAAGAGGCGTACATCAGACTGTATTACCTCCGAGGGAAGCATACAACTTTTAATGTACTGGCACACATATATTCAATGATAAACGCAACACCACGTTCTATTCTCACATAGGTTTACTTCTTCTCAGTCCATCTCTCTAGCTACAACTTCAACACCAGACAGGATAGGCTCGTATCACACGGGTCAGCTGTCGAGCGTGCACCCTCCGAACTGAACTCCTAGCGCCATTGTCATTGTCATTGTATATGGTTCGAACTTGACCTGATCTCAATGATATGTTCGACTCATCGTTTTGAATCGTTAATCCTGTCCCCGACCTAGCACTCATGTATGGCCTTGATGGGCAAAATATGGGTCAGTACCGTTCGGTCACTTATCCCTTTCGTTGATTTGTTAAAACTTTGTTTTCTAGACTTTCTGTCACTCATGACGAATGCGTTGGGTCGCTAAATCCCATAGCCTACGGCTAAACATTAATCTCTCGAGACTTTTTGTCTCCATACCGTGCCTAACCGTCATGACCTCGTGACCCCGAACTGCAACTCTAAATACGGAATCTTATGTAATTCTTTAATGGTTTAGGGATGAATGTTTTACCTTATAACAGTAATATGATACAAAGGCATTATCAAAATACATTGTATGTTAGGTTCATACATACATGTATATGCATACCTGCAATCCACACGAATGTCCTAATGACACAAATGAGTAAAGATTTAACAAATTCAAGCCATATCGCAGAGGGAGAGTATACCCCTCTCCCTCTGGAGCATCCCCGACACCCACACACCAGCACACACACACACACACACACACGCGCGCGCGCGCGCACACGCACGCACACACACACAGACACCCCAGCACACGCACGCACGCACACACACACACACCAGCACATACATAACATTATATTCTGTGTTTCTCACTTTCAGATGTTCAGGCGGAGCTGTACCCTGGCAGAAGTTATGTTAAAACTGAACGACGTATAATGCTAATAGGCATAACCGGATCGGGAAAAAGTGCGACCGCCAATACAATTCTTGGAAAGGAGGAATTTCAGTCAATACCAGGCGCTAAATCAGTCACAACTAGGTGTCAGTTTGCCGACGTCGAGATCGCCAATAGGTCCGTTCTATTGGTCGACACACCAGGCATGTTTGATACATGTTTTTCAAATGAGAAGATCGGAAAGGAGATCATGAAATGCACAGCTCTTACTTCCCCTGGCATCCATGCTGTCATTTTGGTTATCAGAATTGGGAGATATACAGAGGAAGAAAAACAAACAGTTGAGCTATTTAAGGAGAACCTTGGACATGAGCTGACAAAATACATGATGATTATCTTTACCGGGAAAGACGACCTCGAATACGGTGGGATGACACAAGAAACATACATGGAAACATGTTCAACTTCACTTCAGGAGCTTATCTCTGAATGTGGAGGCAGATTACACTTTTTAAACAACAGATCTGGTGAAGAACAAAAAGACACGTTTAGGAGGGAGCTGGTAGATGCCATTGACACAATGGTGGAGGAAAATGGTGGAAGATGTTACACTAACCAAATATTAGAGGAGGCTGAAGCCATCATGAAGAAGAAAGAAAACGAACTGAAGAAAGAGATTGCGAAGGGACGTAGACCAGAACGGAAAAGTTACAGCAACAGTTAGAAAAAATCTTTAATAAAGACAACCCACAGCTCGTGAAAATGACAACGGTGAACAATGGAAATGCAAGAGACGTTGCGCAGAGGACTCTAGAAGTACTAGAGAAGAAATATATGGAACTCAAGCACAAGTTTAAAAAAGTCAAAGATAAAGTGGACAAGCAGCTGAGAGAGAAAGAGGATGAGTTAAAGAAGCTTAAGGAAGATAATGAACGGCTGGTGGAAGCAGAACAACAGAAGTTGCATGAGGAGAAGCTGAAGGTTGAAGAGGCGAAAAGGTTAAAGGAGGAGATAGACGAGATAGAAATGAAGGATGAAGAAGAGGCAAGATTCCAAGCAAGGAAGGAAATTGAGGAGGAAAAGGGATTCTTTGATGTCTTCCGGAGGGGTTGGAATAAACTGAAAAGCATGTTAACTCATCTAACCAAGAAATAAGGCTCAACTCGTAACGGTCAAGTCATCGTAGCACCCCACCTACTCAATACTGGCCAGCAGTCCGCCGCTCTACATGAGGTTTTTGAGTTTGAGCTCACTGGAGAATGCGATGTCTGCAAATCTTCTTCTCTTTCATATTAATCCTATGCTCTTATAATACCATTTATTGGTTTTGTACATGATGTGTCCCATGTATCTGCAGGCAAAGTCACACGTTGAAAGTGTTTTAGACAGTATGATTTTCATGCAATAGCGGCATAAAGTAGTAATCTGCAGATATTTCTCATGCAGTTACAATCATGTTACACCTCAATGTACATATCTGCGTAGGAGGAATGTTATTGTTTAGCAGTGTTTGTGAGTAGCTCACCTTCATGTATGCATTGTGATACGTATATCTCCAATATTGGTTCAGTCCTTAGTTTGCCATTCGCATTTTCAAAACTTTCGAAAAGATATATCTCTTTTGTGAACTTTCACTGCTAGCTAGCCTTGATTGTCTGCTCCAAAGTTCGCACTCTGTGGTCGCTCATTGCTACCCGGTGCCTCCATTGCCAGGAATTGTTACACTTGACGACGTGCTCTTCTACTGTCTGGTCAGTTTCGCTTTTATGGATATTATGTGATAAATTGGATCCTCTACTAGCTTGACGCACTAATATAATTGGCAAGGGTATTAAAGTACCCCCTGTTCCCCTGCCATTAATCTGTGAATAATTACTTTTCTTGGAATAAACTTGCCTAGATCAATACTTACCACTTTTAGAAGTCAAAATTTCCTGAAGGTCAAGTACCCTATTAATCGGAAAGTCAGGTAGTACATTGTTTTGCGTCCAATTGATGTATTTTAATAATAGGTCCACAGCTGCCTATATTTCCCCATCTAGCCAAGTCTAGCTTATTCACTCATTAGAGTGAATGCTTCCCTGGATTATGTGTCTTACTGATTGTCCTGTCAGCATGTTGGTGAAGATATCTTATGCAATTGGTGGAGTACGGTTGTCAGTTAATAGCTAACCTGAGCATAATTTATTCCTTTTTCTATCTATCAGTTATCCTTTCCAGTGTCTAGCCACTTTAGATTTTTCTCATTGGTTGTATCTAGCTGATAATAATAAAACTGTCAAAGTCATCCACGTTGTCTGTCATTTCTTTATTTACTGCTTAAATGAAAAAAGCTTCAGATAACGCCGATCCTGTTGATCATATAACAGAGAGTCTGTCCACCCGATCCCGTTAGTCGCCTGTCTCGACCTGCATGGGTTTGCTAAAGACCAATTCTAACCCGGATCTTCAGGGGTCTCGCTTTTCGGAACAGGTGTTTGGTTGTGACACACATGTTGGAAGAAAGCCTGATATGTCGTCATCACCTTGTTGAACACTGTCACAGGTATGGCGCTGGCACACCATTGATAACAATCGGTGGAATCTGTGATTCGAACATAAGATTCCAGCAGACCTGGGATACATAAATCATAAGTGTGTGGGACACGCATAGTGAAAGCTACGAGAGATTGCATTTGTCATGAAGCAGTTCTGTTCCATAGCCGGCGTGTGGGGATGTCTGATAATTTCTTAATTATGTTACGAAGTGTCACCTTTTGGTGGTGCTGAACTTTGGATCGTTACCGTGCCATTTGTCACAATGTCACTGGGCGAGAAGGATTTGATATCACTTTTAACGGTGTTGCAGCAAGATCACTGTGGTGGAAGATAATAATAATAGTCATCTTCTATAGTGCACAGTCTCCAACCACCAAGTGATTGCTCGCGGTGCTTAATCAGAATCTGATTCTTAATACCCCGGATAACCAAAGCTGCCTGTTAGGCGCTAGAAGGTTATAGTGACATGACTTTATCCAACCAGGTACCCATTTTCGGCTGGGTGAACAGGGGCAATTTGGAACAAACTCACTTGCCTAAGGTGAGACCACATGTATCACATGTGACCAATTAAATACCGTTCCTGGGACGTCAGCAGGCTTGTTCTTAAATAACACGAGTTGGTTGTAACACGTTGTATTAGTAACACACACTCTTTGAAAGATGCAGTACACAAACTGAATCAATGTAATCAGAGCACAAACACAGTTGCACAGAGAGACAGACAGACAGAGATTGTAACAGGAGTTTAGAGTATATTGGTAAAATTAACAGTAGCGAGCAAGATGAACTTCCTTGGGGGAGGGTGAGGGTGGCTTTCGGGGTGGGGGGTAGCACACTAAATATAACACACCGTTGCTAACAGGCGAGGCATTATAAAATAATTTAGCACCTTTTTTAACTTTGAATCATGCATAGAAGCTGCAGTTGGGTGAGGTGAAACGGTTGTATTTGTAGGAGTCCGTGTGCGCATGCGTGCGTGTGTTGCTTGCTCCAGCCTAGGTAAATGTCAGTGCTGTGGTACAAACCACTGAGACTACATCCTGCAGCTTTACCTTGGGTACCACGCTCCAACACCGTACACGGACTCCGGGCCGACCCGTCTCTGTTTCACTCTCTACGTGTGGAGGCAGGGCAACAACAAGTAACATATTCCATGTTTTTGGGCATGACGCGTCAGGAGCATCGTTCATTGGCATTATCCACTAGGGACAACTATTGAGAGAGAAACAGCTATTGCGATAGTCTATTGCAACATGCTACTGTGATAGCGATAGTCTATTGCCACCAACTATTGCAATTCTATTGCAGTAGTTTTTTTTCCTTGAATTGTTTCATTTGAAGTCATTTCCCAAATGAACGGATAGTTTATATGAAATAAAAACGAGATGTTGTTTAAGAGGTAACAGGGTTGGATAACTCTAAATCAAAGTGAACGAATCTGGTACTTCCTGTACTTCCGGTACTTCTTGCGCTGCGCATTTATGAACGGAAGTCAATTAACTATCGATACTTTTTTGTTTTTAAATTGCTATCGCAGACTCAACAAATGCAATCCATTGATAGTTTGATGCATCGTTACAGCCCTATTATCCACTAATGATGCGATACGAAAAAAATGAAACTGTACCTTTAATGTGTAACCTGGCAGCAAGATCGGAACATCAGGCCTGTGATACGAACATAAGACATACATGTAATTTATAGTTTAATACCACCGTCTTATATATTCACATTGAGGAACATTATTAAGTGGATCTTTTTACAACGCCACTTAGTACGAGAAATAAAAGAAGCAGCATTAAAATCACCAGAGCTCCGAGAAACACCACAAAACCAAGCAGATATTTTTCAAGCCTTGATCTCTCAAAGTATTCTCCCTTTGGCTGTATTTCTGGAACTCTTTTCGGCTGAAGTGTTGGATAGAAACTCGACGTAGTGCTGTTGGGCGGAATATTCAGCTTAAGGATCGAAGCATCTGGAAGCCGTGCTAGTTTGGATGCGTTTAAGGTGTTGTATTTCAACACCGACGATCCGGTCGAAATCGGGGTTGGCAGCGATCTTGTTCCGTAACGCAGAGTTCGAAGTTCCTCAGTTGTGAAAGTCGATTCCCGAGGTGTGAGGACACTGTCTGTGATTGCCCGAATTTCGTTCACGTAGCCGGTAAATTCTGTGTGTGTCCTCAATGGATCTTTTCTCCATATTCTGGAGTTTGTTTGTTCTTCTCTCTTCTCCCACACCGGCAAGCTGAGTCCCGTATCCATGTTGTATGGTCAATTCAGAGTCTGGATCGACGGTGATAATCCGTCCAATCCAGCCCCCGCTCTGCTTAATCACCTGAGATTACTTCCTAGATTAACGTTAATACCATAATCGTATAATCGTACGTATAGCCTAAATAGGCTTTACAACTCAGAGTTCACTGAATGTTAGTGTGTTAGATATGGAATCCGAGAAGGGACATTGTCGCAATGTCGCATTGTCGCCCTCTCAAAAACAAATAAAATGAGGCAAAATAAACAAAAACGGGACACGGGACATCGCGACAACATGATATTTCGCTCATTTGTCGCGATGTTGCGTGTCGCATTTTGGTTAATTTTGCCTCATTTTGAGAGCTGGCGAAGACAATGCGACAACGCCATTTAATGTCCCTTCCAGGATTCCATAGTTAGATGACTGTTCGTCTGATACTGATAGCATTGAATAGCTATCAAATTAGTAAGTGATTGTAGTTTTACGCCCTTTTGGAAATATTCCAGCAATATTACGGCGGGAGACACCAGAAATACGCTTCACACATTGTGCCCCTGTGGGGAATCGAAGTCGGGTCTTCGGCGTGAACAGCGAACGCTTTAACAACTAGGCTAGCCCACCGCCCCCATCAATTCGAAGATTTTAGGAAACGGTTTCTTTACCATGACAGCCCGATACAAGAATGTGCTACGAACATGTACAGTCAAACTGTCTTTGTATCTTAGAAGCTCCTGCTGAGCTGATGGGGTAGCTCAGTGGTTAAAGCTGTCGCTCGTCACGCTGGAGACCCGGGTTCGATTTCCCACATGGGTACAATGTGTGATGCCATTTTCTGGTGTCCCCCGCTGTGATATTGCTGAAATATTACTAATAAAAGAGGCGCAAAACCACATTCACTCACTCACTAATGTGCTCAATGAATTACTATCAGATCACAAGACAGTTTGTGCTGATATTTTTTGATGCAGGAGCTTCGAGTGAGCACGTGCGTTTTGTTTTACGACGCTTTTAGCAATATGCCAGCAATATCATGGCGGGGGACACCAAAAAAGGGCGTCCCACATTGTACCCATAAAGGGAAACGAACCCGGGTCTTCAGCGTGACGTGCAGATACTTTAACCATTAGGCTACCCCACCACGACCGTTGAACACATTATAAATATTCTATTTTGTTTGGGGTGGTTGGGTAGCCCTAATGGTTAAAGCGTTTATTCGTCACGCCGACGAGGGTTGGAATAACATGGGTATTAGAAGCCATTTTGGTGTCCCCCCGTGATGTTGCTGGAATATTGCTAAAAGGCGTGAAAGCCAAATTCAGTCAGTCAGTCTATTTTGTTTGAAACGAGGGTTTTCAAACATCACAAGGTTTTTACCTCCAAACACCACGTCTTCATCTCGTTTAGAATACATGCACATTTAAGAGAAAGCCCATTGTTTACATGCACCTGTATTGGGTTTTAAGTTATTATTCACTGTGCCCATGATTACATGTATTTTATACATCTTCAAAGGCGAAGGATGTTTGTATGTAATGTGGTATAAATTACTGTACAATGTACAGTGTCATACGATAATCCAAACAATGGAGAAAAGACTTGTGTTGTCTTAGACAATGCACAGACGACAAAACCTATTCTCGAAAAAATTCTTTCTTGTTTGTTTAAAACGAAATGGTTACTCGTTATTAATTTGTTAATCGACATAGTGCTCCATCTAATTAGAAAAATGATGGCTGAAGATAAACCATTTGTATGTTTCAGAACCTGTATTAAACACTGGTGCCTTTGGCACTTATTTGGATATTTTGATGTGCCAATTTTGAAATGTGTTGGTAATCTGACTATGATATGATATAGTTTTCAACGATTTAATGATTTAAAAAAGGTTTCCATTTTTGCTGTAATTTCTGTCAGTTTCACCAAAGTCGTAAGATTCTAAGATCAGTAGCACCTCATAATATATTCCTAAAATGAGGGGCGACGGGGTAGCCTAGTGGTTAAGGCGTTCGCTCGTCATACTGAATATCCGGGTTCGATTCCCCACATGGGCACATTTCTGTTCCCCGCCGTGATATTGCTGGAATAGTGCTAAAAGCTGCTAAAACTAAACTCAATCACTCCAAAACTGACTTGCCGTTATATAACGGAAATTCTGTCAATTGCGGTTGAAATACAAATCACCGAGTCTCAGTGGTTACCTGTACACTATTAACATCGCTATTGTTTCCCGATTCCTATCATTGATTCCTTGCCGAACTGAATACATTTAACACATCACGTTAGTGAATAGTTGATCAGGGAGCATTGAGACCATAAGGAGTTAATTCCAGATTTAATTTAACGTCATATTCACGGCCAATCACGTCAACTATCGGAGCAAATGGCAGATTCCGTCACTGTTAACTCCATGACAAACTGAGCGAAAGTTTACTTAATGCCACGATTACCGTTGATTAGCTGCATTCACATCGTCAACGTCCATTCCAAGGACTT